CGAAGTTTTTGGACCTTTTCAGTATTTTGCATTTTTCTCTCCGAAAAAAAGGTTTTTTCAACTTTCAAGGTCATATTCGTGATCAGCATGCTCTGGCAAATCCGAATATGTGTCTTTTATCGAAAAAAAATTTTGCTAAAATTTTGCTTTGCGTGCACCTTACAAAACACATATCGGGAATTTTTGGGTGAGTTTCCCAAAAGCCATCAAATAATCAACATTTTTTTCGAAACCTCCAACTTCCTTTTTATCGCCAAAGGTCTTTTTTTTCAGCAGAACAACTTCAAGATTTTATCTTGCTGAGTTCTAATAAAGAAGAGGTATGGTTCAACGTATACCTGACATTTGAATCAGTTGTCTTTCGAGGTTAATGTTCAAGACTAGGTATATTTTACTGCAGTTTTCACTAAAATTTAAAGCCGTAAATAACGCATATTTTTATCAGTAGACTCATCGTGTTTTATATAGGCCTACGTTCCACGCTTCGCTCTTTCTAATGGTGAAAACCGCAGGTCGCTAAGTGCTTCCGTTCTTCAGTTATTAAAAACACAGTCATGGGTTATTCTTTTTTTGAATGGACAATAGTTCGACTGTACCTAATAGTGAACGACAAAAAATATATTTTCATTTGAATAAGTACTAAAATGAATATGTTGTTCAACAAATTGTTGCAGTGTATTTCTATAAACACCAGTATTATTAGCGATAGTATCACTATTTTTTAAATATGTAAAAATATAATCTAGCGAACCTAAATGGTTCATCATATCACCATATTCATATATATCAATAGTCTTTGCAATTTTAATTTATTATTCTCTAGTATCTTCTCTTGTTTTATATTTTGGCGTATCTTGTCGATAAGACTCGCTTTCTAACCGTATAATTGAAATCGACAATTAACAAAGAAAATTTTTTCTCTATCAATTAAATGATTACGATGATAATGAGATTACTTGAAATTACTTCTTAAAGAAAAATTATTAGGGCCATTTTTTATCGGTTTTTACAGTAGATAGCATACACGTCATATCATACAAGAGAGATGTATTGAATACAAAATAAATAAATCTGGACGAAAAAATGTGATAAATTCTTCATGTTAATATAACTGTTAATAATTTAAAGCTAATATCGAAAACAGAATACAAAAAGATTACTACTGATAACATCGAGTCGATTGCACAACAACACAATAGTTGTACAGAATATAGACATAGAACAGTGGATTTAGTTTTGCAGTTTACTGGAAAGCTAAGTTCATGTGTTCGAATCTTTATTCGTACAAAATCAATTTTGTGTTTTCGATAGTTTTAGTTTAGAATACCATAATGGAATAGTTTTCCGCTTGTATTCTGACAGAATAAAGCTTATATTAAGTATTAATAGACTTTTTCTGCCCAACACGCATGTTATATAGAACTGAATGTTTGTCACTTCATTTTCATGAAGAAAAGTTATTTATATTAAACAACAATAAATTATAAACACTCGATATATGTATATACACAGTATGTATAAATATACATACACAGGAAAGAAGAACAGAAAAGGTAAAAAAAATGAATTGAATACTAAGAATTAAAATTTCATTTAAGTTGATATTCACTTGATATATTCACTTACACACAAGCATAATAGAAAACGTGGACGATTTGTCTAACTTCAATTATGACGGTATTGAGTATAGGAGGGTTTGGGATCAGCATTTCGATAAGCTGGGCCTGGCCATTCATCTCGTTGAACAAAGTCGGATTTCCATCCCGTACTTGTATAAACTTCCATATGACCACTAGGATGGCCAGAAACAGGCTGAATTATTCGAATATCACCCGATTGATTAACTCCATCAGTAACAACTTCGAAACCGGCACTAGTTAAACTTGGACCATAATCTTTGGCATCGTTAACTCTATCAAGTCGAATATCTATAATTAATAGAGAGGTATAATTTAGACACAGTAAATAATTATTTGAACTAAACGTTTCAAAGACTATATGACTTAACTAACATAATGCAGTACTCTAGTCTGCAGTTCAGCAGAGGTTTTTGATGCTTTTTAAAAAACTATGGTACTTACTTAGAGCGCTTTCGACTGCCTGCCGTACGGCTGTTGCACAATAGCCAGTAGACGTAGAACCAGCTGTTCTAGTGATAGCATCTGCTATCTTATCGCCGTTACTTGAGTGTGGAGGATACTCGTCACCCCCAGGGTCTATTGTATCTTCTCCATTATCCAAGCCGCCTAAACCATCTTCATATGAACCATCATCGTCTGTTGATGGATTAGGATCGACAGGATCTGGATCCGGAGGATTAACTACACCTCCGTCCCCACCTCCATAATCTTCACCATCCCCGTAATCGCCACCTCCATAATCGCCACCTCCATAATCCTGACGTCTTTCTCTATTCAATAACTTTGTCGGTAATGCTGTTAAGAGGGCTTTTAATAATAGTAGAATAAATAGCGTAAAGAGAAGTTTGTGGGAGCTGATCATTTTGCTTCAAAAGATGTGTTTTAGTAAAAATTGTTGTGATTGTATTTTATAGAGCAAAAGATTATTCTAGAACAGTATAATTGTTAAAATTATTCGATTTTCTCCTTATAAGTGTGGTTGAATGAGTGTAAACTGTTTTTGTATTCACTTACCTGTGTTTTTCATTCTATTTACTGTATTTATTAGAAGAAAATAAAGCTGTCACGTGTCGAAAACGTACCCCTTCGTAGAAACTTGTACATGTGCAAGAGCTGTATTTAGTTGTGCCTTAAAAAAAAAATTAATGATGTGAATCCGATTTCATGACTTGTACGACTGAGATTGCAATCACAAATATGATGTCATGCATGATGTCACAAGTATGATGTCATATCAGTTTCTCGAACCTTCGGTCTATATTAAGACTAAAGTATTAAACAATTAGAAAAAAGTCACTAGATAATCTGCCCGTATAACTTACTGCTTTCTTGTCGATAGATGTGGGATTATATGCAATCGAATATGCTGATTCCGAATATGATTTAAAGAGCAACATATGATATTAAATGAGTAAAACAAATCGACTTATCTAGATGTATTGACGGATGCAAACGTGGAGAAAAAGTCAATGCAATGCCCGATGCTAAGTGCTTCTTTTATGCTTGAGGAGTCACTTATATTGTGTTCTCAAGTCCACAAAAATTTCTTTTGCAGGCCAGTATACACTTTTCTCTGACTGTGAGCTTTTCTGCGTAGCCGAAAAATTATTTCTTATTCAAGGTAGAGCCCTGCAGGTTAAACCTAACCTAACCTATAGGTTAGGTTAAACTTAGGTTACGATTTCTATAGGTTAGGTAGGTTTAGGTTATGAAATTTTTTATAGGTTAGGTTGTAGGTTACGTGATTGATAACCTATTTTTAACCTAAACGAAAAAAACCGATTTTGAACGACCACATTAAAACAGCCAACACTTTGAGTAATAAAGCGTAGTCCGAGTGGAATTTTATCGACTGAGGATGAAGTTCAGACTGAGGTTCTCTAGTTTACCATACATTTGACTAACTTTAGTCGGTGATATTGAGATCTCTATAGATACAGATACTCAATCCATACTGATAGACAGACAGACAGACAGACAGTCAGGCAGGAAGTCAAACATATAGTCACTCATACAGATACTCCCAATGCACACAGATATGCAAGCTGCATGTGTTGACTCCCTAGTCGCAGGTTTCTTCATACACGTACACTTATGTGTCTCTGTGTGCGCACTATATAGTATACATATATGTGTATATACCATCGGATAATCTAATAATGAATTGAGGGAAGTATTTTTATATGTGTACGGAAAGTCGGAGCCACATGGACTTTCTCATGAACTCGAAAAGTGGGTATAGAAACCGTTCTATATATAAAAAATGAACTAGAATTACTGAACGGAATTGATAAACCGCTATTTTGGTTGATAAAATAGTAACAGCACCTAATTTTACATTCATATTTATTTAATTAAAATTTAAACTAAAACTTTCGATATAAAGTCGACGTTTCGAAAATTGTAATTTGTATTTGCAAGACAATAGAAATGTTTAACGTGATATAAAGTTAAAACGAATATGACTGAAGATGTAATTAGAGGTAGGAATATACAGTTTTTTTCGTAAGAGAGAGAGAGAAGAATAGACATTCTTTGTAAGAGAGAAAAGAAATACTTTTTATAAATGTATGAGAAAGGAAAATACATGTTTTCGTGAAAGAGAGGAATAGACCTTGTTTGTAAGGACTCAGAATAGGATTATAGAAAAAACTTTTATAGAATGTTTTATAGAATTCTATAAAATTATTCTTTTGGCTCTTTGTCGTTTATGGAATTTTAAATAATTTTATAGAAAACTATAAAACCCGTTTTAACCATAAAAATTATTTTATAGAAAAAATATAGTCTGATAGAAAAAACCCTTTTTTATTAATAAAGGTATTAGTGTACTGTTTGAATATAATATTGTCATTCACTAGCCCCATTGCTAAGCAATGCATCGTCAAAACTGTTTTTTCATGCTCTCAAAACTAAGAAAAGACTGTGTTCTTCAAATGAAACTTTTTCTTTACATCAAAGACTGTTAGAGAGTAACTGAGAGCTTTCAAATGAGGTGTAGTTGATGTTAGAAGCCAGAACATTAAAAAGTTTTCTTTTTCTTTTATGTTTCGGTCCAAATCAAAGTCCTGAAAAGTGCTTTATTGAGGCAAATCTTGTACTTTGTTGATCTTGTCTTGAAAACAAACTGTTAAATGAAATGTTTATTTCTCATACTCCTGTTTATTCTTTTAAAAACAAATCAAATCACGGACAAGGATTTTTTAGAGAACGGAATTAGGGCTGAACAGAGAACGGTTGCCTATTTATGGTCAAATTTGGACTGATTAGAGAACGGTCAGAATTATAGAACGAAAAAACCGAAAAGAGAACGGAATTAGTGCTGAAAAGAGAACGGTTCAGAATTATGAGTTCAAAAGACTGAAAAGAGAACGATCATACGTTCGAATACTGAATTATTATCTATATATATCTTTCATTACCTGCAAAAATATATTATACAAAAAAATGCAAATAGATATGATATTTCAAAAAAGTAGAGCAAGACTAGATTTTTTTGGTCTACCACGTTTTTTTGGTCCTAAAGGCATACGAAAGATAAGCCACGATCTAATGTGCGCAATCCATCTCAGATTTCTTCCAGCATAGTGGACTTCTTTAAAGCAAACATTTTCATGAATTTCGGCGGAAACCGCAGATCCTAAAGTTGTTGCGTTGCTGAGATATTCAATTTTTGCGAAGAGCCCGAAAATGCACAAATTCCGGCATCTAAGGAAACTGTCAATGTAAACTACGTACAACTCCATAACGACACACTACTTAGACTTAGGAATTCTATCATAACTAGCAGATAGTGTCTACTACAAATTCACAAAACCGCGAGCTCCAGACATGCTTTCGTTCTTTTACAGTAGATGATCCCGTGAGAGCCCAAATCATCGATCTGGTCATTCTGGCAAACGCTTTTCTCGAGGAAAACCGGGCGAATTTCTCGCCCACTACGATAGTGTTGAAGTACACCAAGTGTACTATCATGAGCCATGGTGAGATTTTTGGGATCTTTTAAAATCCCCTGGAAAACCAAGTGAGGTTTCTAGAAAAGCAGACCGTGAAATTTTTTAATCGCATTTGGAATTTTCACATCAGCCATTTTATAGAGCAGATCATGTTACACATGTCAATCTATTTTTATAACTGTTCGATCAGTTTTAACTAAGTTTTAAAGTTTTCAAACACTAGTGTATTACCACTAGTGTATATATGTATGCTTTTAAGCAACACTTGAACTAAAAGTTTCTGATTTCATTAAAACTAATCGAACAGGTACAAAAATAGATTGATATGTGTAACATGATATGCTCTATAAAATGGCTAATGTGAAAATCCCAAATGCGATTAAA